GTCCCTCAGTGTGGCTCCAACAATTAATCAGAAAGAAAAAGTGTACTCTCGAAAATGTTTGGCTTTTTACCAATCGGCCACTGCAAAAGTTTTTTAATTCGGAAAGCAGTTAATTCTTAAATGCTTGCTCATAAAGAAACTTTAAAGTTCCAGCTCGATTGTCGTTAAGTTTGCTTATTTAAATCATTTTCAGCTCTAGTTTAATCAAAATATTTCCATTCAAGCAAATACTGAAGTGGGCGACGAAATAAAGCCATAAATCAAAGAGTCGCCCATCAAACAATAGAACCGGAATAAAAGAGCTTGACACTTTCCAGCTATCTCTAATGATGTATCGAGATTTAGCATGCACTTCGCTGACGAAGTATTTTAGCTTCTTTTAAACCTTGCTGGAGAATTAGGAAAAGTTGGGGTTTGGTTTGAAGTAGGTTTTTGTGAATTCGCACAATATTACATAATTATAGTAATTTCCCACAAATTAAATTTAAATATACAATATACAGGATCACTCAAAATCTGCATAATTCTTCTATACAGAAAACATTTCGTAAAGTCATGTAGTTTGCAACAAATCTGCACAAAAAATGCATCTGCAAGTGACTTTTATCTCAATAGTATTTCCGAAATACATGTTGCTTCTTGCATAAATCAATAAAAGTATCAGGTGAAATTGAAAATCTAACAGAATAAGAAGGGAATCATTTTAATTATGCTACTATAAATTATCCAAGGTAATCAGTTCAAACTAATTCGATGTTTCAAAAGCTACTTTTTAACTACGTTTCTAAATCTATCATAATTGAATATTTAATTTAATTTTTGTTTGCTTTGCAGATATAATTAGTTATGTATAATGTTTACATTAGTGAAAGGATACAAATAAAGTAATAGATGAAAGGGCAGAAAGACCGTGGGTCGATAGCATATTGAGAAATAAGTATTTTAGATATATTTTTTTCTCATCATTAAGATGCAAAAAAAATTAATTTTAGAAACAAATTTAAAAAATATGCCATCATTATTGCTATTTCGGATCCTACATAACATAGGGGGTCCGTGTAAGCATACCCTAGGTATATGTTGAAATGTATTCAAACATTGCAAAATTAAGAATATAGTTTAAATCTTGCATTCATGCCACAAAAACCTGTTAATTATCAATGTGGAAAAACTATTGTTTTCTATACACCCATTATTTTGCAGTAAAATATTATTTATTGATTTGTTAAAGAAAACGGTTGTATTGTAACAGGCATTAACCCAGTTGGCATTTCTAATATAAACTTAAGTTTTTTTTTTTCATATTACCAGTGTTTACTAGTTAACAAATAAGTTGGAACTGGCAAGTTGAAATAAAATTCGTAGTAATTTCCAAAATCGGATTTTTCAAGTTATTACTAAAACCGCACGTTGCCAGGTAAATTTTCCAAATTTAATTATATAAGTTAAGTTGCAATAAAATAGAAAATCTTTATTACAGTTATTGTTATTCAGTCCGTTACGTAGATCTGAAGTTTGAGCCAAAACCGGATTATGCAACTGCGGGCATCTCGTGCAGATACCGCTATTTTGTTGAAAATCGTAATAAACCTAGTTCTTTCCGATTCCATAGCTTATAAGTGATAAACAAGGCAAAACTAATTTAGGTTGAACCCAATTCAAATAAACATACTCTTGAAAAACTATTAACTATTAAATTATAATTTAGTAATGAATTTATCGTTCTGTTGTACATAATGATTCTAAACCAGAGAATTTGTGTAAGTTATTATGGCATAAAAATACCTCCATTGATACTATTTCAGTCAGGCTTTCGAATGTGTCACGAGAACTAAATTTAAGTTGCCTGTTGTCAACAAATAAGCTTCTCTTCAGTGCTAAAATTTTCGTCCGCTAATATTTCACTCTATTAATATCCACCGAAAGTTATTATTTAAATCAAAAATGAGCAACTGGGCAAACTTAAAATAATGTAGTTTATACCATTGTCATATATCAATATATCATACCACCTTCGCACCTGAATAATAAGATATATAACGTTTATAGTATGCAAGTAATAAGTTTAGACAATGTGCTTTTTTCAGTCAGGAACAAATTATAACACACATCTCTAAAGCGTGTGTGTTGAATTGGCTCAAAATCAAGTTACAGTTATACATTTTCATAGTTAAGGCGTCTATTTCCCCTAGGTTTTATTTTTTTAAACTCAGAGAGTAACATTTAGGAAATTTAGCCAGTAAAACGACAAATGAAGAAAAATATGGCCAAATTTGTAAATAAAACAAAATCTATCCTTTAATCAATCTTCTTTACGAAACACTGAAAAATACGGCTTTCACGCACCAACGTTACTAATGCTCTCCTACCTTTAGTTGAAAATTAGAAGAAAACAGCAAGAAATCCTTGTGTTATATATCACATTCTTTCACTATAAAAGTTCTTAGCTTCCTCATTACATTAACATTACATGCATCTGAGATGACAATTCGTTGGAGGATTTTCAAGTGTCAGAAAGTGAGAGTCAACTTGTGTCATAACGCTAAGATTCAAACTATCCTGTGATTTAGGCAGAGTCTCTCTCACATCATTCATTGATCACGTACGTAGCCAGAGCGTCGCGACGCAAAGCGTTCGAAATTCGCCAGAATACTGCATCAGCAGGGATCGCCGGGATGCCAGCAGAAATCCTGCTATAGTGGCGCCTCCCTGTGGAGTCCTGAGTCCTGTTATCCTTCAAGATGCTTTAGACGGCATCATTGTTTGAGCTTCTATTGAATCTTTGAGTCTATTCACCATTCTTAGAAGAGTAAAGCAATTCTTGCAAAAGTAAGGATGTTACTTAGCGATGTAAAACTGAACGGTTTTCCATTCAATCGTTATTAATTTTAAAAGGGAAGCATCAACATTGATACCAAATTAAAATTTATGGTCGATTGGCACACTCTTAGAGAGTCAATTATTCCAGTAAAAGAATGCAAACATTCCTGATAAAAATGGGAACGGCAGTGATGCATCCCTGTAGAGCGGTGTTCTACACCCCGCAGATTCTGCGTCATGTGAACTTAAAATCAGAGTAATAGTAAAAGAAATAGGCGTACTTTCAGTGGGATAAAAGAGAGTAGCAATTGCGTTGGAAGGACGAGCGCTTGCAGCTCGCAACTTTCAGGGCCGCAAAAATTTTCTTTCTTTTCGTTTCTAATTGATTTCTTCTAATTCATTCCAAAGAAGGCTAATCCGCCATAGCAATGTCAAGACTGAAAAATAATATAAATATACGGGGTGTCCTAAAGGTATAGGAACGCTTGCTCAAAACACGCATCTTAAAACTTTGAAATGAAAACTTCTTCGCTTTCTACGCAAACAAAACTAGGGAACTCTTTTATTGAACGTGTGTATTGCTTTGACAATATTCGACTTTTTTCTTGTTTTGAAATCATGGGACGATAGCGATGAAAATTTTAATTTTTTCTTCAGACGAATCCTATTGCCTCGCCAAAGAGATGGCTGATTCGTCATAGTCTTTTCTCTCTGACTAAAGTTGATCAACAAATTTCTACCCGTGATTTTTTCACAGCTATTAATAAATAGCAATCATAAACTGTGACCAACGTAAAAATAAACTGTAATCTAAAACGTGATTGGCCGAAACGTGATATTAAAGAGCGACTTATATTTCCACTGCTAACGATACTATTGCGAGTTGCGTGTTGCACATGTGGCCCGGCCAAAGAACAAACCCAAATAAAATTATTTTGTTCTTTAATAAAAACTTGCATTCACGGGTTCCCTTGAGCCTGGATTTTAATGATATTTTTGGGAATCGTATGCGGTATGCACCATTTATTAGCCGTATTCTGACTGTGTATTGTTAACCTGTTCTGTTTTGTTCATTTTTTCGAATTGAAATTGTTTATTATGTATTGTACTAAGCGACGGAAAATTATTTTTTTGTGGAATTTCCTTTCTGCATTAGAAGAAACTTTTTCAAAATTTCAATTTATACAAAGCAAAATTATCTTACAAAACAAGTCCGTTGAATTTGAAACGGCACATGGAATGCAACATCACACAATATCAATAAATTCTGAAAATTTTGGCGAAGAATAGAGTAAATGTAATATTTTTGTACCCATTTTCACTCAAATAAAGTTTTTTTTCAGATCAAAAATTAAAATCAAATATAGCTGGTTCACAAAGAATTAAGAGCTGCTAGTTCCTCAAGTGAGAAATTTAGAAACATGCTCAAGAACGTCTTTGAACTAGTCGTCGTATGATGTTAATTCACTTCATTCACAGACTGTGAATAGTTTGAGATCTTTTCCAGTAGACATACTGCTGCACTCAAAATGTATTTTATTTTTTCCTTAATCTGGATCTCTGGCCACTAATCTACATATTGAGACCTTCAAAGCGAAAGCTATGAAAATCGTCACGACGTATGTACGATCGTAATACCCCTGTGTATGATAGCTCCAATTTACCACATACAGTTAGGGTAACCCAGTTTCAAGCATTCGTAATGTTGAGGTAAATTGTTCATGAGCGAAAAAATAGGTATTTTGAAATGTCACCTAGTAGAAATAAATACTGGAATTTGGGATTATAATCAACAAGGACATCAAAGTATTGTACAAATGATGTAGATGAGTGTTGGACAGTAATGTGTTGTTACGCAGACGTGACCTCAAGTAAACTTTGCATTAGTCGAATTTGCTGACTTTGCTTACACCATTATTGTAGAACAATAGTTTTATTGCTTTTACTAATACCAAATATGCAGCCTTTTATCAAACGACTATAGTTAAAACAGGAATAAATGCAAACATTAATAAATGAAAAACAGAAAATAAAGAATGGACACAAACTTTTACTTACCTCATTTATGTAACTTTTCACTTACCTCATAACATACACAAAAACAGTTGTTGCTGAACACTGAAACAAAGCTTTTCTCTATTGATGAATTTATTAAAACCAGTCTTGATTTGAAAATACTGTTAAAATTGTTGACAAATGTGTATTGCTAAGTAAACATAATTTAATCTAAGTGCTAAGTAAACATAATCTCGGGAGAACGGAGTTTCCAAAAATTGCCGTCAAACTACTAATGGTGGACCTTCAATACCAAAAGCTCTTGCAAAAAATTTGTCTATTGTATGATATAAATGCTTGGCCACTCCTGAAAGTGAATGACTCTCATCTGGATAACTCTAAAACAAATATAAACGTGTATATAGTAATTAATGACTCAATGTAAAAATTTGTCGAACAACATAAAAACAACAGACGGGGACAATAAAGGGGGAAATAAAATCCCGTATGATTTTTAGCTCTTGAAGATGCATTGCGATTTTTTTTATTTTGGGAAAAATTACCTTTCTATAAGACTTTTAATAAAAAACCATATTGAGAGCATTTAACCATATTTAGGGAGATGGACGCTGGACTTTAATTTTGACTGTTTATTTAAAGCAAATTTATTCTTAAAAGAAAGTGAAAGATGCCTCAATTCCACTGCTGATTACGGAAGTACGGCTGACGACGCCTTCATAAGCAACGTTTAGGACGGTTCTAAGATTGATAAAAACAAGATCTAAGCGAATCTAGGAAAGTCATTTAAAGGTTTCGGACATATTTTGTTTCGGTTGCTTTCGAACTCCCTATCAAACAATGGTTTTTAATCCCACATTTTCCCCAGAAAACTTTTCTTTTCGGCGTCAAACTGCATTAATGGTAATTAAGTAATTGTTCTACAAGTTAGTACATGAGGGATTCAAAAAACAAAATTTGAGAGATTAAATCATGCACAGCTGATTAAAGTGGAGAATTGACAAGTAGTTTAATCTGGAAAGTTTTTATTTGCCCTTCAGTGTTGCTTGCTATTTTGATTAACTACACACAAACAAAGTGGTATTAACTTTTTTTCATAGAGCTTTTTCAAATATTTCATGCTTTATTAAGAATTATTTTTATCTCATTTTTTTCGTATTCCCTAAATACTTTCAGGGGAATGACACCAAACTTGTATCGTTCTGCGTACTGTTGAAACATTTACATATATGTGTTTTAGAATACAGGCCAATTTAAATGATTAATTTGACTTTTCACTTTAATTCCCACAGTATTTAAATAGGACGATGGCAAAAATTCAAATCATCCTACCTCAAAACCGCAGTGAAATAATCAGTATTTTTAAGTTTTATTCCGTCAGAACAAAAGAACCAATGCCGTTAGAACAGAAGCTAATAATATAAAACTAAATAGACGTACGGGAGCGAAAGCATTTGACAACTTAGTTATTTTAAAGAGATGGCCTCAAGTTCTAGCAGAAAATAAGGTCAATTTTATTTCAAGCATTTCAAACTTATTGCTCAAAGTTAAGATATGAAATATCTCTTACCTGTTGCCAAAATTGAATATCAGCAGCAACCAATGATTTAATTAATAGCAGCGCATTCTGATAGTGTACATTATCGTCAGCGTTTCCATGTATAATATAATACAACTTTCCCCTAAACGATTCGGCAACTCGTGTAAGATCAGTATTATTATAACCCAACAGATTATCGTCATCCGTTGGTAAGCCCATGTATCTCTCAGTATATATCGTATCTGCAAAAGATTATTTGTTGATTTTACACTTGCATCGCAGAAATCCAGCTGACCGTAATAAATAAAACTTGTCACAGGAGCAACTGCCAGTGCGAACTTAAATATATTTTCAGTATCTTTCGCAAGTACCCAGCTTGACGCAAATCCTCCATAGCTCCACCCCCAAATTCCGGTTCTATTACGATCTATGTATGGAAAGTTTTCTTGCAAGTACCTTTCCAAAATATAAAACATTTACATGATTTCAACATATTATTGAAGCACTTCAAGCTCTCACTTTGTCACTGCAATTTGGTCTTCAATTTCCACAGTTCCCATGCTTCTATAGATTTGGAATGTTTTGCTTTGTCCATCTCTTCCACTACCTCTTCCATCGATGTATATGTAAATGTACGATCTATTGGTGACCAAGTAGTTTACAACTCCCGAGGAAAAAGCATCATTTATAACGTTTGAGTTTGGTCCCCCATATCTATAAATAAATATTTAAAATGTATTTTAATTTTGTGAGTTTCAGCTGCACTGGCTTTCTATTTTTGCCAATTTTTTTCACATCTTTAAGGAAATGACGCATCTAAAAAGAAAGGATCTGAGAAAACAGTTTACTAAAATCACATAATATGTGATTTGTGTGTCATCTACAAGCTCCCGCTCTGTATTGAAGCCGACCAAAAAGGATACTCACACATAAACCACGGCTGGGTATCTTTCACTATCATTAAAGTTGGGAGGCAAAAGTAGTCGAACTCTAGCAGTAAAATTATTAGCTACTGGAACCAACAGATCTTTCTGGGAAAATCTTAGTTTTTTGCTAAGCCGTTCTCTAACTTTTGAATTGTTATTCCATAGATATGTGTCACTATCCTGAAAGTTCATCCAATAGTGTTTGATAAATGAATAAATAGTATAAGTGTTCCAGTTAATGTGAACTTACATTAGACAAGCTTTGGATTGTAGCAAAATAGGGATTGGGTCCTTGACAAATTTTGATAAAATACGTCAATAATGAATTGAAAGATGCTCCGGCATACTTGCAAAGTCCATCATGTTCATCATCAGCATCATCTACAGTAAAGTTGCAAGTTAAACATTTGTCTTCAGTAGTAATTGTGTTGACCACTGAAATTTGCTGCTGGGATGGAGTATCATTAACTGATGAACCGTAGTAGCTAAATATAAGAAATTTTCGATAAATAACAAGAAGCATTATGAAGAATAATTGATAGTATTATTGATGTTATTGGTTGTTACTGTTTTATATGCGTGTATATCAAATTATCAACATATGGAATATTCTAATTATAAAAATATTGTATGCATTAATGGCAGATTTGCCAGATTCCATAATCAAAAGTCTGATTTCCCCAATATCAGTTATTCATCAAAGAAAAACGAACGGTGAAATAAATAGTATCCAAAAATGTTATCACTGCATATGTAAAGTTCAGGCTATATGAAGGTCAGTTGACGACAACTACTAGGATAAAAACCAGCAGTGAAGGTTCTGGAAGCACTATTTTTAATAAGAAGCTGCCTAGATAAATAATATGCAGGGTGATCGGTAACAAATGCAATATAGTGTTGGATTAGTGTGCAGATTCGATATAGAGTCAAAATAATGAGATTTAACCAAACATGCCTCAATAAAATATTGTCTGATGATGATACTACATAAGTCGACAAGTTTTTGCTTAGTTGTTCTTGTTCATGGCAAATATAAATCTAAGTTTAGTTTTAACATACCTGCTTGATTTCGGTACACACGCTAAACTGTTTCGTTATTTTTCATAGAAACGTTTTAATGGAAAGCTTCATCGAAATTTTAAATAGCACATTGGCTAGATGTATTGTTTGTAAAGTGAAAATATATACCGCAACTTTATCCATAACGAAATCCCCTTTAGAAATATTCTCGAATTAATAAATTAATCATTTGGCAGATCCGACTTTCGATCCGGCAGCACACTTAAATTTGCTTAGTTACTCATTAAGTAACTGAACACTATTTAGCCCAATTTAGTTTCGTTGGTTTCGTCGGTGGTTTCTTATAGGGTTCACTAGGGCATGAATGTTTTGTATGTCTCCTTGCGACTCAGTTTCTTCCATATAAAACAGATCTTTTGAGTGACCTCAAAGCAAAATTCGAAGGAATTAAGGTCAGCGCTTCGAGTCGACCAAGAAAATTAACTCCTACTTACCATCCAGCCACCTGCAAATCGTTCATTGAGGAAATTTCGCATGCACAATGTATTTTGCCTTTTGTCTAGTGGAGCATATATCAATTATTTCCAGTCGGAACAGTAGAAAAAGGTTTATCAAAAAACGTAAGTACTTTTGGCCACTTAGACGAGCTGGCAGCTCATTGATCCAATTTTAAATTCGCTTAAAGTTCGTAAAATATATTGAATCAAATTCATTGAGTCCTGAAGTCGGCAGAATTTCAAAAAATGGCTAGTCTAAGTATCAATAGTAAGCAAGTTTGTTTTATATTTCAACTCAAAAATAATCAGTCTAGCAAATGTGTTCTTCAAATCCCTATATAGTTAGCTTTCCGTTAAAATGCCTTGACGAAGACTATCCAAATAGCTTGTACAGCGCTCTCTAACCGATACTTCAAAGGCAAAATTTCAGTTTTTTGTGACTAAAAACTTGCCATGTCGACTCTTTGGTAATTTTAAATTCAAATCGTATTAAGTTTTTAAATTAATTTAAAATTGACACAGTAACTTTAGCCCTTCTCATTTCCGTAATAGAGCGATCATTTTTTTCAATCTAAGATAATGTTTTGTTAAATCCTATTATTTTTACAACGATACTCTATATATAACTGCGACGTATTCCGTACTAACTTGCATATATATAAAAAATACATTAAGAATATGCAAATGTTTAACAACACTTAACTTTATTCAAATTTAAATTCAAGAAAGTCAAACGTATTGGAGTTGGCATGACTTTAAAAGAAAAGTTGCTTCAAACCCGGAAAACTTAGATAGTTAAAAGAAGAAGGTAGAACTAGAAATAAAATTGCAAAGAAATTATCTATAAATTATTTAGGAAAAGTTAGCGTAAAGACGTACTGCAACTTATTTGATTCGATGAAGACCATGTCTCGATTTATCCCTGAAAAGTTTAATTTTTATTATAAAATTTTAGAAAATTTTGCATTGATACAAAATTGCAATTGATGATTTTGCAACGCATGAGCATCTTCAAAAAAATATTGTGATGAAACCAGTTAAGCAAAAGCGAAGATTGAGGTGCGATTTTTTCGAAAAGAATCTGTTTTACCAATCTAATAGGTACCAATTTTAACAGATGTTTATCTTGGCTTTTGCAGATGTTAATTTGACAATAATGGGTGTAAAAGTGACTATGAGAAGTTTATCTTAATTTGGAAGTTGATTTTTATTTTTTACCTTAAAAAGGAAGCTTCCTTAAAATCGGAAAGTTAAATTTTTGTAAGAAATTTGCAACCACAGCTGTGCGGTCTTATTCGAGAACGTTAGCAAACAGTTTATTAGTACTTAATTATAAAAAGCGAACTGAGTTAAGAGAGTGATTTGGCCGTGATTTTGTTAAGAAAATGTTGCTATGGAACAAGTTGCATATACACGCCAAACTTGAAAGAACGCTCTTTTTATTTAGTTGTGCGCACTGAAATTTAGTTACACAACCAGAAATCTTTAATTTTTAATTTATTCGTACTTACACCAAATTATTCGTTTGATCCCACCGATAGACAGTGGTAACAACTCGATTTCCATATGTCAGCCTTGTAGAAGTATGCGAACTGACATTAGTTAAGACCAAATGATTAAAGTAATCATCTTCATACGACTGAGGAAGTATTTCCAGTCTTAAAGTGCCATCAGCATTGTAATTCGGAATTTTTGGTGACAACCACCCATTTGCTTGGCTATAGGATGATTCCTAAAACGTGTACAGATGAGAACAAATAACGCTCTGCAAATTTTTAAACTTAATAACAGTTGAAGCAAAAGATCCATTAAAACGGAATAATCTAACGTCTGGTAAAACTAGGTTGATTTATAACTTCTTTACAACTTTTAAAAGGTTTTATTTTATGTTAAAATGAAGGGGTTTCCACACATAAAAGTTCAGGCACAAATTATCTATATTAGGAACGATAGTAAATTAATGAATAGTCCTGAATAAACGAATACAAAAATGATAATTTCTATACCGCCACCATAATGTTAAAAATTTTATCTGAGTAAAAATTCATAAAAATAACGGAATAATATTCGAAATCGTCTCTCTGATACTCAATCGATAATGGGTAGACATTAGTACCAACTTGAATACTCATGTTAGAAGAAGTTATTGTCTACAATATTTGTTGGATATCAATGATAACTGACATATAAATAATAAAGAAATAGTAAATGGTTGTGAAATAGTAAGTGGTTCCCACAAATTATTGGAAAATAGCTGATTATTAATTTTGCGCCTACTTGGGGCAGTATGGAAGTATCCGGTATAAAACTCATACTTAATAGAAGGCGCAAAATTACCAAATACAAATAAAGGTGCTGCCAAAAATTTGAAAATTAATCAAACCACTAGCTAATAAACGAGTGACTTGATAAGAGCAATTTCTATGATATTCTGCTTGAACTTGCTCCCACAGCAATGGATCGGGTTAACCTTCAACAGATAAAATGGGGTACAGTTATAGAATATTAAGCGAGTCTTGATAAGTGTGACCATAATAGTAGCACAATACATCCGTTACCTTACAACAATCACTATGGTATGCTTCCTGCACAGAAAATTAACTGTGAACATTGTCAATGCGTTTTTAACTGGGAATTATTATCTGTTTTGCCCTATTTTTACGTTATAAGGAATGTATTAACTTCTGGTTATAATTTGGAAGATGTACAACAAAACTGAGTTTTGTCGACTCAGTGAGACATTCTATTTGGAGTGGACTGTATATATTCATACACAACTAAAGCCAACTAACTTTACACCACTATTTAAAATAACTGAAAGATTTGTTATAATTAAATGATTGTCTTCAGAAATATTTAAATGGAAGTTTTATAAAAATTTGTCTCCATCTTTAATAGCAGCTTGAATCAAAAGGATTTATTTCGTACGTTCAGTAAATATTTATGTAAATGTTTGGCCGTAAGATCCCATATCGGCTTAAAGTTAAATTGCGATATATTGTGGATTGTGATCAATCTAGATTTGAAATTTCCAGACGTACAGTATGCTGAATGATATCAACTTTTTTGGTGGTATCTACTCAATCATTACATGAGTAAAGGTGATTAGATAATTTCAAATAAATCCGGGAGCTTTTGGTATTTAATTCTAGAATTAGCCAGATTAAACTCAGGCAATTCTCGTTATAAGTAACTATATCATTACGAACTTACTAATTTATAAAATTTTGTTTCGAAGCCACTTGTCGAAGCCAAAATATGTATTTTACTCTTTACGAATTTTCCGGCTATCTAGCAGTGCTGGCTAGTTAAAATATCTTTAAAAAATTAGTGACATTTTTTATTTAAAAGTTACAGATGATGCAAGATAATAAAAGATTATGTCGATAACAAAATGTCCAAAATATGGACATTGGTAAGTTTATAATCTTATTAAATAATTCAATCAAAACGGACCTACGCTACAACACAACACTTTGAAATATCTGTTGCACTTACTTGTGAGCAATTTCCATTTAAGTAACATCTAATTATCACTGACTCATTCTGAATCCTATTAGAAGAAATCATAGCTAACTCTGAGTCGGAGATCCAAGTAATGTCGTATAACACGTAATCGTTATTGTCTTCGGAGTTTTCAATTGAGCTAATAAGGTTAACTTTAGTGGTGTTTTGTGATTCTGTGTCGTAAATAAAGGTAGTGACTAGTGGATTTTGTTCGCCGACCTGGATAGAAGTTCTTATTAGAGCTAGTATTAAACTAAGCAATAAATTCATATTGTAAACTAAACTAAAGATGTTTTTCCTATGTTCGTTTGAAATGAACCACATAGGTTTAACTTGAAACCAATAAGTACAGAAAATGTTTATTATTCAGAAATTAGTACAAACTTTTGGGTACTTGATAGTTCTTGTGGTTGGGTATTGGTCATCCATACTTCCTGCAGTTCCATAAATGAAGTACGAAAAGCCAGCTACATTTGTGTCATTAAATTGGGCATATGCCAGTTTTTTACCATCTGGAGAAAACCACAAAGCCGATCCAGTTCCAAATACTTCCTCTGGAATTAGAATATGGATTTTGTTAGAGTTGATCGAGATTTTTAATTTTCAGTGATCGACCTTCATAAACCCAATCAGGCACTCCGTTATAGATTACATCGTCTTCGCCATCCTCAGTTACCTTCACGGGGTTTTCATCGTTCGAAATGTCTTTTAAGTAGTAAATATTATTTAAGTATACATAAGCCAGAGCATGACCAGTAGTGCTAAATGTTGCTAATTGAACCGCTGTTTTATCGTTGATGTGATAATACGCCCTGCAAGCACAACAACTCATCAGGTAGGACATTTCCAATAGCAAATACATAATTCTTCCAAATGAGTGTAAACATTTTTGCTCATAAAACTTTTACGTACCTATTCGCTATATTATACACTGCGTAAATTGCTGTAGTAGAATGTCTGTAAACCTAAAATACTTCAAATTAAGCAAAATTTAAGATGCTAGTGTCGTTCTTAAGACTCAATAGCCTTAAACAATAAAGCAGAAAAAATTGTTCTGAGTGAACATTAGAATCTGCCATATGCAGAAATAAAGGATTAAAGAACCACCTACTTATCAAAGATCAGTCTAGTTTTTGCTAGTAATTAATCAGCCTGTTCGTGTGATAGTTTAACAAAAACGTGGTGAATCGAAGAACAATTTCTTCACATTTCTATGTATTTGCTATGATACTTCGTATATTCATGAAAAAGTATTTGGTTTATATTAATGCTTGTATTGTACGTAATGTTTTATTTATTGTTTGTGTATATATTTTATTATTCGAAACATTTTAAATGCGGAATACATTATGGAATTAGCTAAGTCATCATGCATTGTCGATGAACTTATACAGAAATATACTTACGGACGAAACGTTGTACCGAATAAGCACAACTGTTTCATCTGGAGATAATGATATAGACGCTCCAGAATAATCATCCTAAAATAAAAACGAACAAATTTTTAATCTCAAGCACCATGTTTCATTTTTCTTAATGCGATTTAAGTCGAAAGAGAAATATTTTTACTGAAAAATCAGATATTGCCCAGCCTTGACGGGGTTTCACATATTATAAAATTGAAATTATCAATGACCATAGCAATATACAAGTAATATAGTAGTACAAGTAATAGCAGAGGGGGTATCCAGAGATAATGCACACAAATTTTAAAGGGTGATTGAGAACTACATAAAAAACTAAATTTAAAGCTGCATGGTCCTCAATCAACATTTCTAAAATTATTTTTATTGAATATTTCCTATGCTATGAACTGTTGTTATTGCAAAATCCAGCTTGTCTCATACGGTTTTCCTAAAAAGTACCGTTTCTTACCGATATTCTTAAAATAGCCAAAGGAAATTCTTAATATTAAGGTGCTGCTACAAGGAGGCTGGCAATTGCCGGTTTGGTGAAATGAAGTTTGGTTCACCTAAGTGATATTCTGTTACGGCTAATCCCAGATTTTTAAAATTTGCCTTGAAATTTAAGAGAGGCAGTTCAGAAAAGAGATTTTCCTACAAGGATCAGGCAAGGATTTTTAGATCAGCATATCTATGTATGCTCATAAATCACAAGGTAGTACGCCTCATTCGAGGCACTACTAAAATATTAACACTTTTCGAAATAATGTGCAAAAATGGTGAAACTGTATAGGAGAAAATTTTAAAAAATTGTAAGAAAGACATCTGAATTTTTGCTGCAGAATTAATGACAATACTTAAAGAACAATTTTGCTACGTAATGCAAAATGTGTTTCAATCTCAATCAACAGAATATTCAAAATATTACGTTTGAAAATTAAAGAACTTTTTGTTTGCTAACAAAAATTTGCTTTCTATGGCACTTTTTGCTAATACGGCTCAATTTTAAGAAACAGAGCTGCAATTGGTACATTGCGAAATATTCTTCAGTTAGATTTTATAGACTTTTCGCGTGGTACATTGCTAGTTATTAAAAAATGAAAGGTCATAGCTTTTTGCTTCACATTGGTGATGATTTCCGGCCTTTGAGGATTAAGAGATTAATGTAAAATGTTTATCATTCATAACAAGCGCCAATATTAGCGACAAGTGTGATAAATTTAGAAACAATCGCTCGACAATAAAAAAAAATTATAAATTATATTCAAAATCTAAATTGCAGGGCTTTCAATTTTAACTAGTACATGAATATGTTGTCCCAATAAATATAATTCTAAAACTATTAAAGCCTCACAACGAATTGGAAAACTTACCAGAAAAGATCCATTTATGAAGAGAGTTGCTGTTTTTGTGACAACATCAAATTTATAATAATCACCTTCTGAACTTTTATAGAGGAAATAATTATCTGTAAACCAAAATTTAATTGAAAAGAAATTACCAAAATTTTATGCAAGCTTACATGAAAGTTAAAAACGCACTGTGATTATAAATTTTTTTATTATAAAGTAATATCGAGTTGAATCAGGTGATTGATTTTAGGTATTACTGATGTCATAATTACCTGATAACCACGTTCCATTAAATCCAGAGGCAGAAAAGTATCCGTCAAAATACTCTTCCAAAGTAAAAACCGTTTTTTCGCTGTCATCTCGTGGTGAGACTGCAGATTGTTTAGGAATTAGCGCAGAATTACCAAAATCTACTAGAAGACAGAAAGCAAGGAGAAGTAGCAACTAGAATAAAAAAATCAAGCATAAACGAAATAGAATGGTTTCTGAATAAAATAATTATCGTCAAGACAAGTTTAGAACAATTTAATTTCGCTTTTGCGGTGTGGACTTGTCTTTGTTCGTTCACATTTTCATTTGATCTGTTACCTGCCATGTTGGTTATTCTGTTCCTTGCTTTTACTTTATTTTTTTAGCATCTCAGAAACTGAAATCCTTTCGCTCTTCTGATTGTTTTTGTTTTAATATTTCGTTATATTATAATCAATTTCAAAAGCAATAAAAATAATAAAATGCATGTTAGGCATTTGAGAAAATTGGTAAAGCGATCGACATTACTTCTCTTTCATTTGTTTACGGCGAATCACGGATATAAATACAAAATTTATTCGTTTTCAGAACCCTTTTACTGATCTACTCTTACTTCACAATAAGATTAATGTAATTAGCTAAAAACGTCAGGCTTTTATTTTGAAAAAGACAACTAAGCATAATGTAAACATGTTTTTAGAAGTCTGCATGCATGGTTTGGCTTAAACCATATATTTTAAAACTGTGGCTTATATGTTTACTTATGATGAGTCTACTCTGAAAAGTATACCAAAATGCGACATCCGCCAACTAATAATATAGACCTATTAAATAAAATTAAACTTTTCTAGACTTATGGATAAATGAAGCACATCATTAAGCGCTTACCTTTGTGCGACTTAAACGCATTTCAAAATTTAAAAGCTCCCACATTATATAGTATGTCATACACAGCACAAACTGTAATCAGCTACAATTAAGTAATATTTGTTTACAGAAACTTAACATCTATTCACAACCAAGAAAGTAATGATTCTTTCACTTCACACATACATCAACTGTAATTCTTATCACAGTGTAACACAAACTCATCATTGCGGTACATCGTTATCTTTATTTCACTATGAACCAGCATTGAATTGAGATAAATAGCTTATAAATTTAGGATACTAATTATTGAGTTATTAAAATATTAAAACTTTACAGCTGGCTTAAAAATGTTTGATTGGTTTTGAATATATCATGGATTTTTAATGCTAAATAAGTAAATATTGAGATTACAGACAGAATAGAAAACATACACACATGAGAAATATACATTAGAGTTGTATAGAGAAGTAGTCTGAGTGATCCTTTTTTATAATTTTCTGCTTGATACAACTTTTTCATCTCTATGTAACTTTAGTTTTCCTTGAGGGGCAATAACTGACCACCTCAACATTTTGATGTACTGTCCAATGGATTAGCCAACAAAGGTTTTCTCGGAATCATTCTGCCAAAAAGGTTATATCAAACATAGGCAGTTCGCTTTTTTCAAAAATGTTCACGAAAATAAAAGAAACGTAATAATAAACAATCACGAAAGTTACTTAATGAAAATCACCAAAATAATAATAATAGTCTGCAAAAACTGCTCATTGCCCCAAGCATTGCTGCCACTCTAATTTCTTTCAGCTCCAAGCGCAAACAGTTTGCTGTAGAGGTGTAATAAACGGTATTATTTTTTTGTTAGTTAACAAATGGTTACTGAAATTGCTGCAACTGGATAGAGCGCTCGACGATGCCGCATCGGTTCTGTGCTGACGCGAACCACTTGTTCAGGTTTATGAGACGTTTCCAAAAACAACCTTTAAATCGTCAAACGGCTGCAGCTGGTGCAAAAACTATTTCGGATTTATGAAACGGTTCCAAAAACAACGGGTTAAATCTGCTAGCTGTAACTACGGTTACAGGTTACACGTTTGAAACCCTGTTAATTTAGCGGTTACGTTAAATACCGACCATCCCTATAATGAAATAGCGCGTTCAAACTGTGTTAAATTTGTGTTGCTTCCACTGGTTCAATTTGGTATAAATGTATTTTTCCTTAAAATGGTTGGCTTTGTTTTGCTGCTAAATGGTTCATTTAAATTATTATGTTATTATTGTCCAATGAAGTTAGTGCTAGATATACATTAGTTAATTTAAATAAATACTTGAAAGTTTCAATTGAATTTCAATACTTGTCCTACACAGTACGAACTAGCCTAAAAATTGTAGTCACAATCTATATGGCATTAAGTTAGAAAACTGGTAAAAAAATAAATAACTCATAATAGGTTATACATCGATGTATTTACAACATATTAGCCAGTGAATGAACTGATAAGGTGATCTTCATGCTGACCTAAAGTTGTTATGAGGAAATGAACAATGTACGGCTGTGGCGTTAATCTTAGAGCCCAAAAGCGAAATCTTTCGAAAATGTTTCACCGGGAAAAGCACCATTTCATATGTCCAGTAATTACCTACCCAACTATGTTCTCCATTAAAGAACTTCCTATTTCTTAGGTTTTTATGTATTGGACACAGTGTATATGCATAGAAAGGCGAGCTATTAGTTCATTCATAATTCGACATTCTAATAATAGCTCAATTAAATTTCAATTTAAGCAACACCACTACAACCTTACTTCGTACACATCACCTATTAACAAAATTAAAAACTTACTCGCTGATAAACATAAATAGCCTAGAAAATTAATAATAAATGATTCACTACACTCGGCGCGTTGTGGTTTTCCTTATCAATGTCTTGTTTCCGTTTCAAAGCATACGCGAAGTGAATAATATCCCTTCTAAATATATTGTTTTATTTTATTGTCTTAGTTACAAATGATCGTGACTTACGTTTAGTTACGCCTTGTTGAGTTTAGCAGGCAAACTTATAATAAATTCGTTGTTTTAAAGGTAGTGCCTATAAGTTAATAATGAAAGTGCTCGGTACAGATTTTACAATAATTGTGCTCTTCATAGTATTAAAATGTTCCACCGCACATGACTGTGAATCAAAAGAGACATGCGAACAGTGCATTCAAGAATTGGAATGTTATTGGTGTTCCACGCCAGTAAGTAGCCAAGTTCCTTGATCTACATACATTTTTATTTAATTTCTTATATGCTCATAGTCACAATTGCCGAAATAGCGTTTCAACCAAATATGTATTAAGTGTGCTTCAGACGAAATTATGCGGTCAAAGAAAAAATAAATTACTTTGAAGCATTATAAAGTTACAGCATGTAAAACCGAATTTAACTGCCGACAATTTGTTAGGGGACCAATCTATATAACAAATATAAAAATAATACAGAAGAAGTAGGTAGCTGGATAAAAAGTGGACCAACATCAATGAGCTCATAATTGCAAGCATTTTGCCAAAGCAAGGTCCTGCTTGTGAATGTAAACATGGATCAACAGTTGTTCCCCCATAACTTTTAGTTAATAGCCAGCGAATACTGAACTTGTAATTTTATTACGATCTTAAATTGAAAGTAAAAACTCGGGTATAAATTTACTGAAAGTCGTGAATTCCAAACTCATTGACAGTCGCGACTAATGCCCTTTCTGAATCATCACCAAAGGGACAGAGGATCGATATGCGCTAGAAGTCTAATCCGATAATCCACCACAATGTCTCAATACCACTTTGCACTATCCTAAAAATTTTACCAAACTGCGTGTAATAACTGCTCTTCTTTAGGCCTGTTTAAAGATCTCTAACATTCACAAAGCGCAAAGCAGTCTTTTTCCAACTAGCAGGACGGGAGTCGTAGTGACGAGCAGTTGCATGGTCTTCGTCCTGGTATTAATCTTTATCTTGCCCTTTCAGTCCTAGTATTGGCCTGACGTACAAGAAGACGGTCTAGATTTTGAACTTGGTCGTGGTTTTATCAATGATTAATTGAAAATCTGAAGTTTTCGAAACTACTTCATTACAAAGATACAAAAACTCAAAATTAACGCGTACATTTTCATTGTCTAATAGGCTTTAGATGACAGTCCCTACCCAACTCGATTAACATGAAGATGATTCTTTGAAAAAGGTCGTCTTACTGTATCATATCAACTAGTTAAAAAATATTAGAACAAACATTCGTACCAAGTAACTAGAAGAGAAGGGAAAATATCTGGAACCAGTTACGTCTGAAATATGTTTTATGTTAAGCCCTGTTCTATTTATCTCCCACTTGTTCAAAACGTTGGTTTAGAATTTCATATTTTGAGACTCAAAGTGAGTCGTTGGTTTGTTAAGCGACTGTTCATTTTTCCTGACTAGCTTAAGGGCTGCGATGATAGAATTAATTCAGATCAATATTGGACTGCTGCGTAAGCCAGATTTCGATTAGAGTTACCATTTTATACCGAGTCCTACTTAGATCTTAAATAATTTGAATAAATCGAAACAAGATACTTTATGTTCAAGTTTTCTATGCAAGTGAGTGAAGTCAAAGCACATTATATGTGATATACCTACATTACCATTATAAGATTAATAAATATTCAACCAAAGTTAAACTATGACGTTAGTAGGAGCACCCGCAATCTCATCATTCAAAATGTATATAATTATTTTGGAAAAAGAAATATTCAGTAATTTGTAATTGTTATTTCTCTAATTAATATATTCACTACTCAGTTTTTGTATAATCACAATCCAAATTTCTATGGCACTTCAAAGCTCGATTTATGTCTTCTTCTGCCTCTTTCTCGTTAGTAAAGCGTGTTTATAATTTTGAAATAACTTTTGAGGAGGTATGATTTCTTCATATATCTGAATCCATTACGCTTTCGAATATGATTTGTCACTTGTAGCTCTTGAAAAAATACTTTCACATTTGAAAGTTGCCTTGTGAGTCTCAACTGTAGCACAATTGGGAGACCGTTTTGTAACTCTATGCCCTTTCCTGCCATTCATTTGAGAAATAAAACACTTTCTAAACAAAGGTTTGGGAAGAAACTATGAATGTGATTTCTACATCACATGAACATTTCACTTTATAGCTAGTCAACAGGGTTGCACTAAAAATTACAAACAGATTCAAAAATAAAAATCTTATAACGACATTAACTCAAGAGTTAAAATATTTTAAATTATCATGAATGAAGTTGGTTAGTCAGTAGAAATAAGGAATTAAGTTTCAAGTAAAAGTTTGAAAGCCTAAGTATATTACAGTTTCAGTACTATTAGTAAATATTTGTACAAGAAGATATAACCACTTGTCCAGGCATATTTAATTTTTGTAGCTTCTGTTCTAGTGACAATAAAATTACTTGACATTATATTTTCCGATTGTTAAATTTATTACTCAATTACTCTTCTATGTTGTTTCCGAATTTATTATTTCTATAAACCACCCAAGAAACTCCGATAGATTTTGGATCCCAACTAATAAGAAATTAAATGCTTCGTGGTCAATAGTCACAATAAAGAATATTTATGTATTTTTTTATATGTCAACCATTATCGACACGTTCTCGGCTTACTGTGAAATCGAGGTGTGATCTACAACCCTAACTGCCTATCGGTCAACTGGTTAAACCAACTAAAAAATTAAACTGAGCAAACAAAATTTAACAAACTTATAAGTATAATGCTATTCGATTTTGTAATCATTCAGAAAAGCTACCAACATACTAATTGTGTCAAACTTGCATACAGGAATGAGCGAACTAAGTTCAGTGAAAAAAACAAAATTTTCAAGTTTGTGACTTTGTCTTAGTGAGTAGAGATCAACGAGAGGATAATTTGAACTATGAATTCCAGAGGTGGAATTTTTTGAGAACCATACTGGACAAGAGTCCTGATCTGAAAATGGTTTTCTAAAAAATCAATGCTCAGAAGACCAGTTATCTCATTAACCAACAGAGTCATTAATTAATGATCGGTACGCTAAAGTGTCCAACTTGATTACTTTCTCTCAAAACTTGGAGTTATCAAATTATTGAAACTGTCTATCTATACATCTATCTAGCCGATTTTTCAATAATAATTTGGTTCCCAGAATCAAAGGAAATGATTCGTAGCAAATACAAGCCCACAGTATTTCTACTGTGTCATTTTTCATTCTGAGAATTTGAATTGGCAAATACTATAGCACCTGTGAGTACCTGTTGATTCTAGTTTACTGATTTTTGCATCGATCAGTTGATTGTTTTGTAATGATTCAAATAAATATCTTTATAATCAGATAATAGGAATTGGTGTGCACACACTAGATGAAATCAAAGAATCGTTTTTTTTTATATTGAAGTGTGTAACTAACGGTC